ACTGAAATTTGTTATGCACAAAGTGGCAGTATCTGAAATACTACAGTGAAAGCACCCTGTGTGTTGCTTTAAGGAGCAGTTTACAACTAAATGTTTGAAAAGAAAACTCTTAAAAAAAAACCTTCATCTAGAGAAGTTCCGAAATTGGTTGCAGTCCAAAATGAGGGGAGGGTACTGTCCAGCTACTCACTGACAAGGGGGGGTCACCTCTAAAAAGGTGAGGGATGAACAGCAGGAGGGATGTGGTATTTAACTGGCACATCTGTGAGTCTGATGCTTGCCTGAGCAAGCTGAGGATCTCCTTTATTGCAGTGATTTCAGTTTCTCATCCCCCTCCTGCTCCACACCTTTAGTCCTGCCCTACTCGTGTTAAGAAACGGCAAAGTATTTTGCTCTTCTCTTTGTTCTGCAGAATTCCTGAAACCAGACAGTGCTGTGGATGCCCTTGAAGTTATAAATGGATGGGCACTGACGGGGAGTAGGCTAAGAAGCAGGAAGGCTCTTGCTCCAGGTCACCTCTGGAGATGGATTTGGCAAATGGATCACAGCAATGAGAAGCAAAGAGGAGACATCTTAAGCGTGGAAAAGGAGCAACAATCAAATTTTGTGAGTTTGAAGCTAATCTTGTCTTTACTATAGTTAGCAAGAAGGACAATGACAGTGACCTGGGTACTTCCCAGAGGACCAGAAGGCATAACTTTGAGCAGACTTAAGTGCAGAGCTGCCTCTAGCAGGGTGATCTCCTTATGCCAGAGCAGAGAAGCTGCAAAGCAGTTCAGAGACATAACAGCAAGTAAGATAAGGTGGCACTTGCAGGGCACTGCCTAACCTAGCAAGCCAGCATAGTCCCTCTGGGGCAGCAAGGGCTGCTGCACAAGAGCTGAAGCCTGTCCCTTGGAGCAGGCAGCGAGTGCCCAGGTGCAGCAGAGGGCAGGGGCGTTGCAGAATGGACTAGTTGTGCAGCCCTGCAGGAAAAAACAGATCTAGTTGCAGTTCTCGTTTGCACTGGAGGAAGTGGCAGTACCATTTAAGCAGCACAGAGGTTTTGCCCTGCTGCTGAGCCATTGTGTTCCCAAATGGCAGCCAGAAACAGAATCGCTGCTGGCCTCCCTGGCAGTGTCATGGGGCCAGTCTCACTATAAGAGTAGATGAATAGGGGATTTTAATGCTTACATTCTGTTACACAGGAGCAGGAGCTAAGGAAAAAGCTGAAGAAGCTGGACCAGCACATCCGGAAGCTTTATCGAAGGCTGCAGAATAACACCCTGTGTGTTGTTCTCTTTCCTGGGGTGAACAGGTAATTTGCCATCTGTTTTGCAGAGATGAGGAAAATACACTACCAAACATTTTTATCATAATCTATGTAAAAATAAAACTCTGTACAAGAGAATTAAAACTGGCTGGGAGAAGGCTTGAAGAAGCTGTTCTATTTAGTCTGACTTCCAAGTTAGGCCAATAAAACCTGAACAGCAAATCCTGCCTAGAACCTGCTTTTGGCCTGAGCCAGAACCAAGTGCTGAAACCATTTGTGTAGCTGATGACCCAGATTAGCAAGGCTGAAGCACCCAGTGCTACTCAGCAGCATAAAACTTCTAAGGTCACCTACCATCTCTGTAGGATACTTCTTCTCTAGTCTGAAGTCCATTCAGCTTTGCTAGCAAGGCAAGTTTTTTGTGCCCAAGAGAACTAAATCAAGCTTCCACAGCAGTCATATTTTATTTAGTTTGTTGGATTTCTGTTTTGTGTGTGTGTGTTTAACCACCTCACCGCTGAAGCTCAGGTCACCATTTGCAAGAGAACAGTGCCCTGAATTGGGCTGGACTTCAGCATTAGTATCAGGGATGCTGCTAGATGAAGTAGGGCTTCCAGCACATGAAACCCTAGGGCCTGAATTGCCACAGTCACTCAGTGCTTAATCATTAACCAGAAAGGTTAAATCTTTCCCAGGCAAGGCCCTAGCTGTTGAGTACACACTGATTTCAACAGACCTCACGCTGTTCTCTTACTGTGCCCCTGTTCAGGCAGTCAAACATAGATCACATCTACCCTGGCTTTTCTGCAGTTCCTCTTCAACAGAAGGAAGACAAGTTCTTTTGTAGAAACAAAATTATCTTGGGCTGAAATAGCAGGGAGAGAGCTGCTCTCAGGAGATCAATTTGCCTGAGTAGGCAGCTGGGCCAGGGTCTCCTTGCCAACTTGAAAAGCTTCTTGAAGAAAAGAATCAGGATGCTGTGTTATCCTCTAGACCAAACACTGTGTCTAGAAAGGAGATGTATTCCCAAGTCAAGAGTACATTTAGTCTCCATGCCGACAAGGTTGCATGCCAAGGCCTGCTCTTGGCATGTGCTCCTCTAAGTTTCTAGCAACTTCTTAAAAATACTTTAACTTGTTTCCTTAAGTAAATATTGTCTAGCCGCTTCTCCTATGCCCATGCCAAAGGACTTGCTATCTCATTTTGTATGCTATTATTCCAACTTAGCAGAAAACAGTTGACTGTGTATCTACCTTCATGCAAATGGTTTATTGCACAGTCTCTTCATCAGCTACCAGTATGAGTTTAATAAACTGGCCTGAGTGGGGGCCTGAACTGAGGACAAACTTCTGCAGGGGGTTTAGAAGTGCCTTGGTCCTCGGCTCAGCTGCTGCCTGTGTTTGAGCTGTAACCGAGTCAGTCTTTACACTGCTGAGCAGTCACTCGCCGCTTATCTACCACTCCCAGCACCTTGCTTTGTTTACTAACCTGCCAGCTCCACTAGGAGCACAGGGACAGGAGGTGTTGGTGGAGATCCTACCACAGCTTCACTGGCCTCAGCAGGTCCAAATTTACTCAGGTGTCCCCTCCAGCTGGTCTCACATGGCACAGACTTGCCTGTTGTGTCGCTTCAGGACCACGTGTGAATCCAGTCCCTGGGCAGCCTAGGCAGGTTCAGGAGTTTCATGCTCACAGAGGGGACTCTAGACACCCTCAGCCCCGAGGTTCCCAGCTCAGGCAGTTTAGGGCACTTCAGCCCAGGCCTCTCTTGCCAAGGGAGTTTTGTGAATTGCTGTTTTCCATAGGCTGGACAATTCATGGTATGTTTCTTGATTAAAAAGAATGCCAAATAGTTATTGGAGGGTTTTTTTTTTTTTTTTTTTTTTTTTTTAAACCTGCTGATGCTGAGAACTGCAGGACTCACTACTACGCCAGCTAGCTTACGTGCATCAAGACTACCCTGAACAGAAATAACATTCCTGTTGTTTATATTGCAGCATACATGGATCACAGTCTGGCCTTGGTCTGATGGGAATAAAAGATGGAGAGAGGAGTGCCTGTTAAATTGCCAAGTTTTAAGCAAAGTCTTTTGTTAAGATATTTTTAATTACTTGAAATATTGATGTCTTTGTAAAGGTCTCTTACCATAAGAACAATAGGCTTTCACTGCATCTTTTATAAAGTCTAAAAATAAAAACTATTCAAAACATCTTAAAGCAGAAACCCTCTTCCATTAACCCTTTCTTGCTGTGTCACTTTTCCCTGGCCTTGAGCTGGGCAGGCACTTAGGAAGTGCTGGGGCAAGTTCTGCACAGCAGCCCATCAGGACTGGCCTGGAAGACGCAGTTCAGCCCGCGGTTCCTGCAAAGGCTGCGGTGCCAGCGGAGCTGAACTGCATCACTGCAGCTCATAAACACCAAACCCAGTGCGGTACCTGCAGCAGCTGCTCAGAGGTTAACTGCCATTCCCGGGAATTGTGGGGATTTCTGGAAATGCGCTGTGCCAGCTGCTGAAGCAGAGCTGCTGCCTGCTTTCCGGGAAAGCGCCGTGTTTAGTCCATGGGACGGAGGAATTGGTGATTCACACTTCTTGGACAACCTCCGCTTTCTCCTCCCTCCCTGACTCCCCCTTTCCTCACTTACCCCCCTCCCAAAAAAAAGGCAGTTACTCTGGCTCAGAGGGAGGGGCAGGACCCGTGTGAGGGCTGTGCGGTGCAGGCAGCCCTCACCCGTCCCCGTGTTCCCGGCAGGGTTTCCCTGGGCTGCAGCAGGATTCAAAGCGCTGCCGCCCGCTCTGCACCGCGATGGCTCCAGCCCTGCGCTCTGCAGCCGGGGCCTCTCCCACCTGCTGCTCTAACACCGCGACCGCCCAGGCCCAAGGATGCCTAGGAGAGCTTTAGGCACTGAAAAGGTGCTCGTTACAAGGTGAGAAAACTCAGGAAAAGGGAAGACCGGGGATTTCTTAATCTGAATTATGAGTAGGCTGAGTTAAAGCTGAAGCAGGTATTTCAGCAGTGATAAAATACAGCTGATTATAGGCTCTAACACCCTGCTAACTTCCAACCCACAATCACTTTGCCAGCTCCTTGGCAAAGGCCAGTTTATGGAGAAGTTACAAACTGGTGCATGGAGGAAGGGGCAGAAATAAAGGGAAAAGCGACAAAGGAAAATGTAGCACTGGTCCAGAGCAGCATTAGTGAATTGCTGAACTGGTAGTGCTTAGATCAGTGTGTTGACAGCCAGCGTTTAATGCTTCCCAAACACCTGACATTAAAATTCTTAGATAAATGTGGCCCCCTTTTTTTTTTTTTTTTGAATATATTTTGTCCCTCCGACCCGAGGCTGCTCCCGCCGGCACCTCCTCGCTGCAGGGCTCAGCTGCGAAAGAACAGCCAGGGTTCCTCTTGGGCAGCTGAAAACGATGTGGCCACCTCCCTGCATGGACTACCCGGGACTTAGCGAGCATCCAGGATCCCTGCCTGAGAAACTCTGGAGATAAAGAAAATTAGCAAGAGTCCTAGTTATAGGCATGAAAAAATAATTAATTTTTCCCCTTTTAATTGAAAATGTAAAAAGGACTTCAGCTTTAAATAAGACATTTTGTACAAAGCTTGAACACAAAAAAGTGAACACCAAAGTGTGCATTATGTAAACACCACAAATGTTACTCATTTGTTCAGTAACGCACAGAACAACGTGCAAATTCCCTTTCCAGTGGACTGGACTGCTGTAGCGGCTCTCTTCCCTCCCCCCCAAACCTTACTGGAATACAGGAAATCCAGAGGCTTTGGAACATTTACAAAGCTACAGCAGTCAGGGTACATTGTGACTAAAGATTTTTTTTTTTCTTTTTCCTTTCTCCTTTAAGGGACTGGTCATTTAAATATACAGAAGTACTTGTACAATAATCTCACAGGTAAACGAATGGCAGATTGGATTAGAAAAAGCACCAAAATATTTAATATACATCTGGCACAAATTCCACAAAAGTCAGTAATGGACAAACCAATATTTTGCTTGTAAGAGAAGAAAAACTCAGACTGCACTTAATGCTCTTCTTTTAAAAGGGACTTGACGAAAACATTGCACTCTGAATTGCTATCAAGTAAAGACACCTTCTCGTTACAGCCTCTTTGCATTGTGCATTAGACTGCGCAGTATAATACGCTGGTTCCCTTCTGTTCCAGACAACAGTGGTGAGCAAACTTTGATACAAAAAAATAACTGTAAAGCTACAAAGCAAATGGGACTCAGAAGTAGATGCATCATCTTGCATTCCTTCTCCTTTTTCTCTAGATCATTGTTTCAAATTTGGCCACATCTTTAAAAATAAAATAAGGAAAAAGTATTACATGAAACAGAATTTACTCCAGCCATTTTCAAGCACTACACTTGAGCGAGCGCTTCTGTAGTGCTGTCTACCAGAGGAAGCTCGGCTCTGCTCCAGGACGAGCAATACATTCAGCGTTTCCCGGAGAGAGACCCGCACCGGATGGGGCACATCTCTTAGGCAAGTCCAAAAAGGCAAAATGACTCCTCACTATGGCAGATCTGATCCCCTTTACCCTCGACACACGCACTAGAGCCGCCAGCTGCACTCGCACACAAGTCAGCGGGAGCCACGTGGAGCGGCGCTTTCGTCGTTTCCTCAGTTAGGAGCAGTCCCGTCTCTGGGGGAAGATGCACTATCGAAACATTCCTTCCTTAAAGAGGGAGTTAAGACAAACCTGGGGCCTCCCGAGACCCGCGAGCAGGTAGACCGGGAAGCCCAGGGCTCCCGCGACGCCAGGTCTACCCCAGGCTAGTGCCTTGTAGTTGCTTCATGCCCTCAAGAGCAGCCAGTACAAATCCCAAAATTGCAGGGTTACAACCTAATCCTGCAAGTCACATTCATTTCCCTTGAAACTCGAGATAATTCACAACAATACAAGGCTCTCAAGCTACTCCTGCCTGCCCCTTTCCTTTTCAAAAGGCTATTTTAACTTACAGATAAGAAAGAAAACGTATTTTAACTATGTTTAGTGTGACCGCAAAGGTCACAACTTCAAAATATGAAGCACTACGCTATGACATCCTCTAACGTTAATACACATGGGAGTAAAAAGCAGCAGCCAGCGTGGGCGCCGCTGATGCCCTGTGCGGGTTCGTCCCCTCCGGCCACACGAGCTCCCCTCTCGTGGGCCCGGGGGAACAAGAGTCAGCAGCTCTAACTGCAGAACATGGCAACATTCAAGTAAACACACTCATTCAACAGCAGGCAACCTTTAGGCCAAATATAATATACAGGAAAAAAGTTACAGCAAGAACATTTATGGGGATAAATGTTGCTTCTGCCTGTGTGTAAAGTGACATGTTAGCCAAAAAGGGCTTATCTGCAGAGTGCAAGTACACAAAGAGAGAAGCCTATCTATATACAAACCAACAACAAAAAATGTTGTAAAACCTCCAGAACCTGTTAATGTTTTAGAACATAACAAGGAGAGGACAGAGGATTGAAATAGTAGCAAGGAGCTGCTGCAATTTCAGTGATTTAAGGCAAGCTGCTTGCAGGACTAGTAAATTCATGCTCCTTTTGCCTGTCATCTCCTAAGTCCCCGCCATTCCCTTAAAATATGTGCAAGACAAATAGTGCAAGACTTCACACCCTCCAAAGCAGCCCTAAAATTGGAAGAATATTCTTGTAGCAACCCTGGCTACGGCGTGGCGTCTAGTCCAGATTTACAACAACAGTAATTGAGCTGCAGCTTTCTTTGGGGAGCAGAGGGAAGGAAGCAGATGTGTTGCATGAAGGAGATGCCACCTAAACGCATCTGAGAGAGCAAAGGAGCATTGAAACCAGCGGGGCAGCCTCAACGCACCTCGGAGCTCTCCAGCTTTGCTCTGAGCATACAGGTTTTATCTGGACCAAGATATGGGCCTTGGGGAGCGGAAAGGGTGCCCTTACACTTCTGCAGCTCCCTGCATTGCCAGGCATTAAGCCCTACTTTTCATCAGAAAGCTCGTGACACTCCATCAAGGGGGTCCGGAGGGTACATGGAAAGGCTGTTGGATCACCCCATATCAGCGCTCCAAAACCAGCACCCCGGAGGAGCGAGGCTGCTGGCTGCAGCTCCCCTCGCTGCTGCGGGTTAAACGCGGCATTCGGAGCACGGCAAACAGGTAACACTTAACTGGGGTCCATTAAAAACAATAGATTACTCATCCAGGAATGAAATCCTGGCAGGAAAGGATGGTAACCTTAAACTATTCAAGTCTAAGAACAAGAGGTAGAGAGACACCTATGTACTTCATGGTGAAGGAGTTACAGCCTTCTGGTTACAATCTCAGGTGTTTCACTTCAGCTGATGACACAAATCCAAAGGTTCAATCTTCAAAAGTCCAGAGAGAAAACTTAACACTGCTGTCTATTTGCACACAGTACAACTTGGGCAGACACTGTCCCGGGCTGCCTGGCGCCGCTTCCACCTTGCAGGGCCCAGCACGGCCAGGACGCTGCCCCGGCAAGAGGGGCCCTGCCTGCCCGTGCAGCAGGTCCCGCTCCCAGCGGCCTCACACCAGCCCTGGGGGCTCCGATGGCGACGCCGCGCAGCGCCGGTGCCTCCAGCACGTGCGCAGGCCCAGGCGCCTCCTCCCACCCCGTCTCCACACCGCATCACCCCCCATTACAGGGCTGAAACTCCCCGTCGCGCAGCGCCAGCCGCACGTAAACGCGCACCTCAGCACGCAGGAGCTCGGGCCTACGGCCAGCTCCGCGCTGGGCCCTTCAAATTCCAAACAGGATTCAGCCTCTGCCCGCAGCAGAGCCCCTGCTCACACGGGGGTCAGTGCAGCCGAGACCCGACCGCCTGGGGAGCCGAGTTTTAGGGTGCTGCAAGCTGCAACGCTGTGCAGGCCGCCTGGGCTTCACTCCTGGGAGTAACGTCTGCAGCGATTGCATTTCTGGAGGTTAAGGGAAGGCAACAAAATTCTAGCATAGATAACAAACCAGTCTTCCAGTATATTACCAGAACTGTTCAAATGCACATCTAGAGCCATCTATCCCAAGCTGCAGCAGATTCACTTCATGCATCAAGTTTTTTTTTTTTTAATCCATACAAAATTAAGATAAAATAAATAAATAGCTGCAATGGTTTCAAGGATTTTCTCTGAATCACTGCCCACTTACAGTCCTCTGGCCTAAGCTTTAAAGGTTAAAAACATAGAAAAATGAAGAGTGA